CCACAACTTATCACGAATCCTAAAGCGGCTCTTAATGCGTGCGTCTAAGTTTAAATGGTTGACAAGTGCTTCTCTCTGAATACCTATTGGACTTCAAGACTCATTATAAGGCCCAGATCAATATATCATCTAACGTCGTGATTCATCTAAGAATACTGCAGGCTTATGAAACACAATACAAAGAGTATACATTCAAGATAACAAACATATGGTCATTTCAGATAAAAAAAAAACGTCAAAAAATGATTGGAAATTGAAGAAAGTTATATCACAGAAAAATTTATTACGAAACACTTACCTCTATGTGTTTTTTACGGCCCAGTCGAATCGGGGTACTTTTTCATAACGTTAGTTAAGCTATGCCGCAGCCCAGACAGGAGTAGTTGCAGAGCCCCGAAGCATTGGGTAGTTGTTTGAGAGAACATGAATACAATACTATACAAAAGTACTTCCACTGTCAACATCAACCTTGCTGTGAAGATAGATGTACACAAGATTGGTAGCATCTGACAGATTTCTTATAGCAACTAATGGATTTACCGCAATAGGTGCTCAATCCTAAGGAGGAACTTGTCAGAAACTTCTGCTTCATGCTAAGCTGTTGGCACACAGCACAAGCAGACAGGTACTTGTTAATGTTCGACGATGTTGTACAGGCTCTATACATTAAAACATTGGTATCTTCCAAACAGTGAAGGATAGAACGTACTATGTAACTAGAGCAGAATATCTACAGTTTCCTTCATATGTTCCTTCTACTGAGACAACTTTCATAGTCGGCGTTTTTTTTCTAATAACAAAAGTGAAATTTCCTTCTTGAGTCTCTAGTTATACAATAGTAGAGGATCAGGGTATTAGGTCGATCAGGCAGGCCTTCGCTGGCTAGATATAGGCGTGCTGCGAGTATTGCTCGGCCCCAAGTCCTTTGCGCACGTTCGTAGGGAACTCGTCTAAGCGAATTTGTTGACGAACACGTTGCAAAAATACCAGTATGCCGTTTTAGGTGTCTGTGTGTGTGCGTGATAGAGTACAAGACAGCAGCGTCACTCTCTACATCGATTGGTCTATGGTAATCTTGACGGTGCTCAAGCGGACGCTAACAACAAGCTATAGGACGCTGTTTATGCCGGTTAAAACATAAGGAGGTAGTTATTACAGAAGTTTCAAGATACAGGCGAGTGATGTCTGGGGGCGTCAATTAGTCGACAAAACACGTTTGCTTTGTGCAATCGTATTCACTGTTCACACAGATGTCGTCGACCGATTCATGTACATCAATTCAAATATATGCATTAACCAGTCGAATGTAGAGCTTGTTTAGATGCAACTATTCCATTGGCAAGGTTCTGCATGGCCTAGGTTCGTACTTTGGACACATCCACACTACTGAATAGCTGTAGACAGCCGTATGCAGCAGGACAGGTCATAGCACAATACATACGAAGCTATGCAACATTTCGCAAACTGCGTATACCTACGTGCTACCATGTCGTTGTATATTTGGCTTTAGAAACGTGCATTCGTGCATGGGGGGGGGGGGGGGGTATATGGTGGGACGAGCTGGTCGGGCTTACTGCAGTACGCAACGATGCTTGGAACACTAGCATAAAAGCACCAGGTAAAATAACGAGAGCAGTACTCGATCGTTTTCGATGCCGTGGAGATACTTTTCTGATGAGCTTGCTATGTTGCTGCTACTGCTACTACTGCTGTTTAGGTGAATTGGTGCCGTACAGAAGGAATATCATATGTAGGGAGGTTCAAGTAAATTCCTATAACGTGGCTTCATCTATCTGGCCGTGCGGTCAGCCAGTTAGAAGTCCAACAGGCAATTGCCCTAGGAGGAAGCCTATATTCTGTGGAATAGTCTTTTCTGGCCGAATGAGCTTATTTGATCCATGAAATACAATCTTTATGCAGAAGTGTGCTGAAATAGGCGACGACAAAACAGAAGATGAAGTACGGGAAACTGCTAAAGGCTAGGATGTATTCCTTGACTGGGCATAGTATAACACTGGCTTATACCTAAAAGACCTGTCCACTTTGTTAACAAAGGATCTTAAACACACATTGTTAGGCCATACGTCGATACGGAGGCTTCTATTTACGTGTTGGACGCAAACCGGGCCAATGCAAATGATGTGAAACTTGTTTGATGGTTCACCGTGGAGACAAGTTTAAATTAGATTTTGCGCTATACCGTACCGTCTTATGGGTCGCTTGATCACGGATTCGCTCCCTGCTAGTAACTGCCTGTAAATCTAGTAGCGATAGAGATTTTTCGGAAAGTGTGCTCTATCAATTTAAATTTATTTTTTCGTTTTTGCGTTACAGGACGAGCTGAAAACGACAACAGTATAGATTTAAGAGAACGCCTTTTCTAGCAAGATTAACGTACGGTTTGGGGCGAACTACTGTTCCAATATAATTTAGACACGTTTTTCTAATAAGTAAGTTGAGTGTTCGTGCTGATATATTCCACAAATCCGTGACAGATTCAGACCTTCCATACTTATTGCATTCATTTCGAACGAACTTCGAGTCAATCATGAAAAGTTACAGCAGACATATACCAGCGGGTCTCCGCTACCCATAGGCCTCCATAATGTGTGTGCGTATCGTCTTACATGTACCGTGCGGAAGACGTCTAGAATATGACAGACTCAGTGTGCAACTCGAGATATTTGTGAGATACTCGACACACGCTGGCTGTTATCGTTCCGCTTGTTTAGGCATAACGGGACTAGAACAAAGAAACAAACACAACGGCCTCTGTGGTTTACGGACGCTATGTGATCACTACAGAAAGTATTGTTCTCCCGCGTCATTTATCTGCCAAAAGACTGACGCAACAAACAAAAGGGAGCGACAAACAGACGTAATCCCACCGTGTTAACTTTGCGAAAAAAGACGTTATGCGTCCTGTACCACATTTTATAAACGTGTATATTATACATAAAGGACCGTTTTTCTTTTATTTTAGGACAAAAACAGGTGGCTTTTCTCGTTGTACTCAAAATGATCAGGAAATAGAGCTCCTTATAGTATTTGCATGTCTACTAGCGGCCGATTGAATGCTTGAGGTGACTGAGTGCTTTTCCAACTGAGGTTCTTCTAAAACTTGTATACTTTGTATGCTCTTGAAAGTTGTAACTGCGCAAGGTTATACAGAAGTGCTCGAAGATACCATATACCATCCAATACGGTATTCTGACATTTTAAGTATTTGAATATTTGCGAAATGTTAACCGCAAACTCTTTCGATGCCACAGGACAGCCGTGGCACCAATTGACGGCGGTTTCGTTTTTAAGTTGTACGGTTTGACAGTACGCTCGAAAAACTGTTATGCTCGTTAGATTTTCCTAAATACTTAATTTAAACTAAGTGTTTAAATTTAACAGATGAAAGCATTGTTTTTGCATATCTTGTTAATGATTCTTGCAAGTTAACTTTATCGTATTTTTTTCCAATGCGAACCTCGTGCGCCTATAAGTCGAACGTTTACTGATCGTCACTTCGTCACGAATATATAGTTTCTTGGAAAGTCTGATTTCTATTAAAATGTCTAAACTATTCAGCTTCAATCCGATCACCGCAACGTCGGTATTTTTTCCCCCTTTCACGTTTGGTCACCAGTTTCGATGGCCGATATCAGAATCGCTCCGCGGCATATGTGAAGCTCCAAGGATGGTACGTGGTCAGTGTTAATCATGAACTAAGCAATGTTCGACAATTATTATACACTCAGATATTAGGCAGTTATATATACACATATAATTGCCTAATATCTGGTATAATATATGTAATAATACGGAGTGGACCACGAGATTGCGGGTTATTCTGTACACCGGAGGGACACGGAATCAACCGGCCGCATACGATCAGGTTGGATGACAACAAATATCTAGCTTGTTTTCTCGCGTACTGTCGCTTTCTACGTTCGCCATTAACGGCATTTCAAAGCATACAAACTCATAACATGACCGCGTTCCTCGGAGACTTCGGCGCTATGACTTCCTCGGATTACGTGTTTTCAGTAGCTGGCGGCGAACAACAGTGAAGCCTGTTCGTCAATGCTATATGAAAAGCATAACAGGTACGATACGTACGGGCTTCAAATGGGCGTCTGCAAAATCTTCACGGCCAAGAATTTTCTATGTAGAAAAAAATCAACGTAAAACGATCCGTAACGCAACTTCATTCTTTTCTCCTGTTTTTCGCACGATTTGGGCTAGTCGGCCTTCGACGCGGTAGACGTTTGAAGCGGACAGAGGCTTGAATTTTAAATAAAATTTTTTCAAGAAAAAAAGATTAAATATCTGGCTATCCTGGAAGGGGCAGCACCGGGCGAATCTGTTCATTGTGCCAATTAATTAAATCGCAATGGAACAATTCGAGGGAATAGGTTCAGATGAAAAGAGAACGAAGTAGGTCTAAACGAGAACGACGTGGCACTCACTCAAAGGCGCTGAAAGTAGTGCCTCGACGTGTGTCATTCCGTTGAAATACCCAGAAACAAAGGTGCGGATCCTCGATTGACGCTATGCGTATGAATATACATACAATGCAAGCCACGGAAGCAATGAATGCAAAAAACGAAGATATGCGGTCGTCTATTGAGAATATCAAGAGGGCGTACTTTGTTTTTTTTTTTTGAATCTTTTCAAAAATTATGCGAGGTTGTTCGTATCCAGAGGAAAAAAGTTCTTCCCATTACTGACGTATGATTCTTATTTTGTCAACTTTCCCACTGCGTACCTTTCGCTATTAATTACTTCTCTTTTTTGTTGAAGTTCTGCTTTTGATAGCTATTCGGATTGCTCTTCAAATTTGGACTCACTGTATGGGGTTAGTATACGCATATGAAACGTTAGGGATAATCGTTAATAACATGTCGTTCGCGTTGCACGAAAGGACATCGTCCAAAAAGCTCTACACCTCGCAAAAGCTTAGGAAAATTGTGCAGTCTGCCACTGCGTTTTCCTGTGTTTTTTTTCAGATTTGGTTCGAGGGGATTCCTAAGAGAGCCAAAGACCCCAGCCGGCGGTTTCGTGGCTATGTGGCATTGGACGATATAGTATTCGACAAGATGGAAGAAGCCGGTGATAACTGTCTTGGTCACTGCACCTTTGAAGGCGGCTTCTGCGGATGGACAAACGCGGACACAGGTCTTTTATTGTTTCTCTACCTAACTGATTAAATGAAATCGTCCATTGAAAGATTATCTTCTCGTCTACTTGTCTAGGTTCTGCAAAGAAGAGCTGCCCTTTAGACTGATACATTAATTTAAGATAAGTAAATTCAACAGCCTTTAATTAAATAAAAAAAGTTAAACGGATAGATGCTCAGTGAATGACTATTCGAATACTAGTACGTGCAGTCGATCTTTTCCCCTGGATTAGCATGAAGCAATTTCTTTGTGGAAACTGTGTTTTGAAAATACTTGTCTGGCCGAATTTAAATAATGGATTTATTGACTGTCCAGGCTGGGGCACGAGTGACTGGCTAGTGTCCCGTGGGTTCGCTGCCTTCGCAAGTTTGACTTTAAAACTAATAGCCATGCCTGAACCTTGTATCCGTTATAGTTGCCATATAATCATCTGTGTTGCAAACGTACGGCCTCACTTGGGTTAGGCAGTCGAGGGAGTAAACAATAGCACCTTCCAGGGTCCACAAGCTTGACTACCAGCATTACCATAACAACGGAGCTACGAAAAGAAAATGTATACGTGTGCATGCGGCCCTTTAGTCTTTCTACTAATATCCGTGCGTCATTTGCACCTTTCGCTTTCAACGTTTATAGATTAATTCTACTGCCAAATTCAATGTTGAACCAAGTCACCCTCTAAAAATAACTAGAACAATGTCCGTCTGTTAGTCTACAGTGCTCACGTTGTTCACGCTAGATCTCTATTCACCGGTACACTTCGAGCGAATAAAACTTTCATGAGCCTTAATCGACGTCCGACGTCTTCTTTGAACAGCCTTTCTCCCGCTACTCAATAGGATCTTCGATAGTGGCAAGGATAATTTACTCCATTTGAAGAGAACGTGTCTCTGTGTCGTTTTTTCAATATTATATATTTCAGGTGATGACTTCAACTGGGATCAGGGTCGTGGCTCACAGAGCTTTCTTACGGGGCCTCAGAGAGATTACTCATCATTTGGAAAAGATGAAAAAACAGGTGGTTACATTTACATTGATTCTCAATATCCTCGTCGACCCCAAGACAAGGCCCAACTCATAAGCCCAACGCTCAAGGCGACCGGTCAGTAGTCATTTTCGTTTCATTATAAGTCAGTTCTCATAGCCCAGTTTTCTGAACTGCCCAAACGCGAGGCCAGACGCCGAAGTGGTCCCTGTGAGTGCTTAAAAAAGATGTAAATTAAGCAATGCACCGTTTATATTTCGAAATACTTTCAGATCTGCTGCCATCGAATATTCAGTTCTACCAAAGGGTCCAAGAGAGTTTTATTGGCTTTATGAACGTTTGGATTTTACGTAAATCATCCTGAGGATAATCTAAATCCTTAATAATACTATTTACTAAATAGAACTCTGTTCTGATAGAACAGTAACAGCGAATTCTCTGATTTTTCAAAGTGTTTCGCGAATATTTTTTAAATATTCTGTGCGATATGACGCAAAATCAGTTTTTTGCTCTTGAGCATATTTTTCTGAAGATGATATTCTTCGAGAACATGGGCGACAGAATGACGCTGTGTCGTTAAAAAAAATCATAGCCTCGGGACCTCCCTGAGCATCATCCCTCCCTATTCGACAGATTACCCTTTTCTGAACCCATCAGGGGCCTGGACAGGTAACCTCGTGCTTTTGCTAAGTACAAAATTGCACTTACAAGCTTTTGAAGCGCAGCTTTTCGAGGCGAATAAACTTCTCGTAGATATACTGAAGTATAGCAAATTTCATAATCTAGACATATTTGTCTACCTTTTCCCACGTTATTCCTTTGTGAGTGACTTTCCACAAATGAACGCGATGAAGTTTCAGCGCAACAAGCATCTCGATAAAATAACCTTAATAGTATCCGTTATATAAGCGAAGAAGCTTTAGCCGGCAGTGCTGCTAATTAAATTGACGGAAGAAAATTACCTGAGCCCGACCTATCTATGTTACAATATATATATATATATATATATATAATTGATGAAACGCACTTTTTATCTTAATTATGATATTATTCCATATAAATAAAATTGAATTAATTAAATATGTTGTCGTTAAAAAAGGATTGTCGACTTTATTTTGGTCGACAAAGCCTCCATTTGATTGACAGCGCAGACGAACGCGAAGTATTTCGTCAGAAATGAAGTCCTAATATTGCCTCTTAAAAACGCTACCTTTACGTCAACTGATGTAAACTAAGGGTTCTAATTTGAATAAATAATGGAAGACCGAAAAAAAAGCTAGTATGTTTGTTTACATCTATCTATGGAAAGGTACATTAGAAAAAAAACAGTGGAAACGTGCTTTTGAGGCCTCGGCTGAGCAGGCTGTTTGCTAATGGCGGTCAATGGCAGAAATTCGCCATGTCCAGTTATTATTCACAGCTTCATGTCAGCAGACCCAGTTATTATGTAGTCCTATAAAGAATACTAAGGCTTTTATAATCCCTTCGCGAACGGTCTGCTAGCAGTGATCGACGCAACTTTGCCGCCATACTGACAATGTCTATATGACATTCGCCTCGTTGACCGCCTTCGCACGAGAGCAGATTTTTCGCTATTGCTACGAAGCAGCATTACTGCCATCGGCATTATAATTTCTACAGAGACGTATTTCTGAAGGGGATCTGTTCGAAAGAAATCATAATGTAGCTATAAAGGCTCCAGCACCTACTCACGTTAGGTCGTTCTTTCAGGAAGGCAATTACTGCGTAATTAGTTATACTTTGAGATTATATGTGCCCTGAGGGATTTTCGTGTTCAGGAGGTTCGAATTAGCAGTCAAATTGAAAAACGAGAATTTTGTTGTTTGGTCAGCTTACTATGCCAGAGTAATATATATATATATATATATATGTGACCAAGCGGCCTTTCTTCTCGTCTTATAGATCGCACGCCGAGTTTCTGTAGCGGTATAACAGAAGTGTTCATTGAGCATCCGTTTATATTGACTCATCACCTATATGGTAGACATACAGTTATGATCAACCTTATCGCGTCATTATGCCTCGCACAGTACATGATGGAATACAAAAATACGTCCGACAAGCCATTTTTGACGTACGTATGAAGCTCTAAAGTCTATCACACAACGAGAAATCAGTCAAAGCCATGCTGGGGTTTATGAAAAGTTCGCCATATATGTCCCGGCTGATATTTGCTCAAAAAGAATTCGCAATATCGCATCTGCGATCTTCAGTATGTAATATTGGCAAACGCCAACTTCTTCGAGAGAGCTTTTCATGTATGTGCAAACGTTCGCTCTATTAGTACCTGATCAATTGGCCATACAGATCCGTCTCAATCGAAGTGCATTGGTCGTTACCTCGAACATAAAATTCGAGGTTAAAAGAAAATTGATGGAGGCTAGTTTTCTCTTGTTTAATAAAGACAGGGTAATATCGCAAAGAGTGAAAAGTCTCGTTTTTACCTGGACCATAGACGGAACTTGACCTGCTTGATATCTGCCCCTCGGGAGACTGACGTTTAAAAATACTATACATAGATATGATATCATTGTTTGCTAGGACGTGCTTATTAAGTATCTAGCTCGTTATTTCGTTGCACTTTAACAAAAAGAACGAAAGAAAAACAGTTAGACACCTGTCACATACGAACCACTAGCTGCACTTCATACATAAGTAACTACTAAATTAGATAGTTTGGCAGCTAGGAAATATTCCAAGTACATCCGACATTTTCATTCGAGTGACTGAAGATCTTATTCGTTGGAGGTGTTGCGAAGTAATCTCATATAGATTTATTCCTAGCCGAAAGATGTATGTAACGAGTTTAGCTCTGTCTGGAGCCTCCACAGATTGTTTACTACGAGCAAGGTACTTTATCTATGTTACAGTTACCTGTTATTTGAGTGTCATGGCCAAATAAAATGACTGACGTAAACAGTAGTAAGTAGTTGCGGTCTTAAAGCTGACTTCAATGAGCTAAGGGTAAACAATTGGAAAATTCCCTGTCGATTGTACTAGGGCATAAAGATTTCCATAACGCCCTACGAAGGTCTTCGAGGTATGCTGTATTATTTAACTGGGAGAATTGCACTAGTTGTAAGAAATTTTTGTTTACCTCACCTCATAGGGCGATTGAGATCATATAAGAGATAGCGCACTATGCGTCTCGTAACATGAAACATCCGAGGTAATTTCTAAGGCCAGTCTTTTCAAAAACAACAGTGATCCTAATATTTTTATTCCGACGTCTCGGGTGACAATTAGTTCTACCTTCAAACTAACGAAGCGTTTTCCGGTACATAATCAGTAAACGCAAGTCTGTGAAAACAGATTTTCTACCATACGCCGATAATTTCGCACTTATAGGACAAGTCGCTTTAGAGTCGGTAGATATTAGACTGCCTTCAAGGGTACGTAACGCATGCCAACCTAGAAATTAATTAGGACAAGAACAAAACTATATAATTACGAAAAGCAGGGCCACTAGTAGCAAATGACATTCTCCAGGTAACTTCTAATCCCTGAATTACATACAGAATTTATGTTATCCAGGGGTCACTCTAATTGGTTTTGGGGCTTGTTATATTGACTGCGCAGTGAACTAGTAACGAACGTTGCTGGAAAGCCACCGTTCCCCTTTCTGAATACGGCAAGACGCCTCTTCAGTGTCAGGCTAACATTAACAGCCTCATATGGCATCAGTTTCACCTGGTGCATCCTCAACGCATCCCAACTATAGGCTAGATTAAATGAATCCTGCTTTTCTTAAGAAAGGGCTGGGCCTGTGTGCATCCTGCCGTAACTGCAGTAATCTGTGTATGCTAGCGTATACACCGCTGCATATCAAAAATATCTAATGCTTATTAAAAACGCGCTCTTTCCTGCAGCGGAAGGAACAAATGATGAAAATAGACCCAAAATTCTTTGACAGTGACGCTATGGAAATATATGCGGAACATAGAAAGAACTAGGCAGAAAGAACATACAATGGCCCGCTACGCTGTGTACGGCGGTTCACCTTGTTATGCGCGTTAATGGTCTATACCATGAAAACAAAAGGTTCATTTGGGGAGGGTTCTGTGCGATACCATGCAAGCTCATACTTAAGGACGCGTTCCATGAATAGCGCGGCTACATATTCATAGTGCTCTGTGTTTATATTATTGTTTGTATACAAGTTATTTGATAAAGGTGAAGATAAATGACAACAATATGGATTGTGTTTTTCTTTTTTTTTTATCAATCTAATTGCCTCCCACAAATCACATTACTGAATTGGCTTAATGGATTCGTCGTTTGCTTCTTTTAACGCTTTCATTGCGAGTGCTTTCCTGACCCATGCAATGTATATCGATGCGTGCCTAAATTTTAGGGGTAAACAATCCAATATGTATGCGGTTTGCCACGCATATGTTCGGTAATGGCGTGGGAACTCTACGGGTGCTGACGCGCATAGAGGGATCGGAAGAGCCCCCGAAAACTCTATGGGAAATGACAGGAGAGGCCACCAATCAATGGTAAGTAAGCGCTTCGTAGCTTTTAACGTCGAATTACTGGAAGAGGCGGTTCAATGATTAAGATAGTTGCCGCGTTCTGAGCAGTCTCTTGCGGTTCATTTATTTCAGTATCAGTCGTGATAAATAGATGTAATTTTGTTGATATTATTAGCTCAAGTAATAATGTCTGGATCACACACAGACTTCGAGGTATCTTCTAGACATTAATAGCCCTACCGAAACGGTTGACTGAACTGAGATGAGTCTGAAGGCCGAAGAATTACGTATTCGGACCAATCGGCAAATACTTATTATTCTTTAGCAGTACGAACTCACCAATTAGTTGAATTTCCCTACAGTGTATACCTTCGAAAAAGCCACGCGTTCCTATCCCCATTCTCAAGTGGGCTATGGAAGTGTTGTATATGGTTAGCTGTCTTTTACGAATATGACATGCTACTATGCGCTCGTCCGATCGGAAGATAAAGCAGTTAGACGAATGCTCGAAGAAATAAACATCTCCCGAAAATTAGAAGTGTGGACAACAGTTGATACCTCTAGGTATGTAGCTCAATTACTGCGTGAAGATCTTTTATCCTTAATAGTTAAGTAAAAGTAATTTTGCCTCTAGACAAATTCTTGAACAGTGTCTAAATGTTGACTGATTCGTAGTTAAGCTATTCTATCGAGTAGATTTGAATGGTCACCGATGAGTAGTGAATTTTGAACAAGTAAGTACACCTCTCATTTGGCTGTTACATGGCAGAGTGGCTACGATTAGTATAATCTAACACCCCCAGCAACGACCTACCTCGTTCCCTTTCCATAGCTATGTAATCCACGTAAACAGCGTAAATTTGGAACGTTGGTGTATCGTCGGCGTGGGAACTTCGCATTGCATTATGCTACTAACAATGTTTCATCATCGACCGTCGTTCCCACTACCACTGCTCGCAATGACCACCGTTGTAGTCGTTATGTACATACCATTTATGCATAGTGGCATATCCACTTATTACGAGTTGTTCTCCTTTTACCGTTCCGCATCGAGATGAGTGTTCGACTCGAGTGAAGTAGGTCAATCACCAACTCCTCGTTTCCTTCGGCTCGTTCGGTTCTCCTACGATCATTGCTTCCCGTCTGCAAATGCTGCTGTGCTTGCGGCTGTTGTTTCTCTGCCTTACCGCTGCTGACGTCGTCGTGTTAAACTGGAGAGGGAAAACCGCTGAGAAAAAGCTTCTGCGTCGAAAATACAAGGACTGGCCGGACAGCGAACATCGGATTCCACTTTGTTCGACTTTTCAGGGAAGATCTCGAACGAACGTGGCGATTTTCACCAGAAGATCCTTCTCTAGCTTCTTTGTTTTTTCTAGGTCTGTCTCCTCTGTATTTGCCGTCTTCGCTGTTTGCTCCTCCTTCCTCTTCCTCGCTTTGTTGCTGTTGCACGTGAAGCTACTCGAATGGGATGGGTCAGAAATGCAGGAAACAAACAGAAGGCTTCGACAAGGAGAAATAATAGAGTGGAGAAACAACGTGACGTTATTCTTAGTGTAAGGAAAAGTTACTTCCACCACCGCTACTACCTTCTCGGAAATAGGGAATCCGATTAAGCTTTAAATGTCACGGGCGGCCAGCTTTCGCAGCTTTGGTTGAAGGAGATCTGGAGCTGCTAGCCAAGATTTAGAGCTGCTTCTGCCTTCGGTGCTTCTGAGTTTGAAGGTCAAGCATAGCCGATCTAGTTGTTGGCATGCGGCTCGAGGCAGTCTGTTTGCCTGTGCTTAAAATGGGCGATCCAACGGAGGTTTTCCTACTGCTTCGAAGCATCTTATGGCAGGTCAGAAAGCCTGCTTGCCGCCTGTGTACTATTAGTAGATCTCACTATTACTTCTGCTAGTTGCTGAAACCGTATCCAAGCTTCTTCAAGGTTTCTAGGCTTCTACTGTAGGAGGTTGCTTGTTTGTGTGGAGCGCAAAGGCACAGTACAGCTCAGATGCAACAGCTATTGGAAAACCAACGGCAGGCTGACATTTTAGTGTGTTTTCGAAGGGAGTATTGACTAGGCCTTTTTCACCTTTCGGTGAGCCTCTGTATTTGGAGAGATGGGAGGAGAAAACTTTCTAAGAGATCTGTTGCCTTTTGAGGCGCGTAGCAGCGGACAAGCCCGAGGGCGCTGATGTACCCAAAATACCACAGCAAAAATGACGACGGAAGCTACAGCAAACAAAGCGGCACTCAGACGACGGAATTCCATACTTTCAAAATAATGCTCCCCCCCAAAAGTAGCACGAAGAAGCTTCTTCGGCTGAAAGACATGGCGATATGCATCTACACTTATGGTGGAGTTTTTCAGCACAGTTTTTGGGGAGTTCTATGGTCTCAATTAATAAATGCAATGGACATACCTATTGCCTTATACGTCATTTGTTCTACGCAAAATATCTAGTAAAGGTTATATAGGCAATGGCGTCCAGAAGTACTGAAAGTAACATTTAGGGAAAAAACCAACAAAGGCCCTACATTGTGCCTATGAGATTCCACTACATTAAAAAGGAAATCGACGAATTTTATTTTTCCAATGCAGAAGCGTTTTCTATAACGCCTACGTTGCATGAATACTATTCGCTTTTTTTTGATGTCTTTAAAAACTCTGGGAAACCTAGCTGTCACGAATCTTCAGTTACGTTGAAGATTACTTCGAAAGACACCAAAATATTTCGAGTAAAAGCGTAAAGTCCCTACCTCAAAACGTGCCTTTTTGAAACTAAAAGACATCTTTAATGAAGGGCGCGAAGTCAAACGACGGTCGCATTCGAGAGATATAGCTGAATTAGAGGATAGGTATGACGTAATAAACCAAATACGTCTTTACTAGATTCATTTATCTGAAACAAAATTCTGGGCTACGAGTAACGTAGAAATACACAAACGTTCCAGAGTTACCAAGGGTTAGAAGGCTACTATTTTATCATGTACTAGCGAAGACCAACAATAAATTAAACGATACATAAAATGCTGTATACTATCAATGATATTTGGTTTCTAAATAAACCTGCGTGAATGAGATATTTTTTGAGTAATTTAGATCTATGAGCAATTCGTACGTTATATCGAAACCTACTTGATGATCACTGCGGTGAGCACAGCATCTCTAAAGTATTAGACACTGTAAATACTTGACTGTTATAAATTAAATGCATTCATACTTTTTTTTTAATTTTTTTTTTTTTTTTTTTTATTAGAATGGTAGTTTAAACGTGTCTATGTAACACAATCTTATGGAAAGTAAGCCAAGTTTCACTTCCAAAGCTTCGTTACATATATGTTTCCTATATGATGAGTCGTGTTTCGTGGCTATTCATCCAGGCGATCGGTGATTCTGACTTTTTCTGCTCTGTTCGCGCTTCGGTCTCTGTGCTGCCTTTGTTCTAATGACGCTAGTACAGTCCATTCGGCACTTCAATACCTAATTTTTCAATTTTTACGTTGAAGTAGGTCGGTTGATCTTTATTATTTCCTGATAAAAGTGAGCGCTCTTTGGTAACTTTTTCGTTTCTATAGTCGTAAACAGATAATTTTCTCTATATAAATAACATAAAATATTTCGTTCATTGCATCTCGGTTTAATAGTATATTTACACACTCCGCAGCCAGCGCTATTCGTTACGCTTGAACTTACTAAACTTATCGCTTCGGAGCGACCGGTGGTCCTTTTACCGCCTTACCTGGCCATAATTTAGGAAACGTATGGCCATAGGGCATTAGAGCAGAACCGAAGTTTCCGAGTGGCAAGTCGAATAACATGTGCCACTCCGTCAGGGCCTTCACTGAGCTTGCTCGTTCCCTAAATGACGGGGTCGCGCAATCTGTGCGATTGCTGTAGATACACTGTAAAACATGAGTTCGTAGATTATGGAAAACGTCACGCCATCAACCTTCTTGGGTCTTCGCTAGACCGAGATGATTTTAATGGGAGGCTGCAAACGCTGAAGCTTCAACGGGTCGCAGCAGCATCTTTTCGGGTCTGATTGACCGGCTCCCCACATTTTGCATCTACATTGCATTTCTCATTGCCTTGACGAGATACACGTGAGTTTCGGCGGTGGATAATACCGATACTAGATGAAGTTTGCAAATGTGCGGAACCGACATCCGGAAATTGTGACTTTCTGACGTTTCGTCTTAGCCGTACCTTCTCTTATGACAACGGCAGCAGACTGCGCACTGCGTTTGTCCTCCAGAGAGAGCATGCGGCGTTGTTGAACGATCCTGATCTTCCAAGCATCTAGTCACTATGCTCAGTAATGCACTGTGGAAATATAGACCCAGCGGCGTTGTGATCAAGTAAGCAAAAGGGAAAATTTCTATTATTGATGTATTGCTTTCGTTGTTGCATTATTTAGCGTCTTTGTTGCAGCGGATGCGTACTACAATAGACATCAGTTCCCGACGAGTAACGAATCTAGGGATTGAGTAGTAAAAGTTGATGTTACGATAGATAGATCGGCTGCAACATCACCGCGATAAACTGAAACAACCTGCTATAATACTGATTTTAGAAGGTTTTTCATTCAATATTGAAAAGGCTCCTTTTTATATAAACAGAGAACACTTTTCAATTTTTCTATCTAAATAGTTCCTAGGGAAAAAGAAAAAAAAAAATTTAAAGTAAAACGCTTGCCGCAGAAGTAATTAGTAGTTCTCTCTGAGAATGTGCATCACATAATCCGTACTCTACGTAGCTATGAAGTGTGGCATTGACCTAACGATATGAAGCGATTTTTCGACTGTCCGTTATTTTTTTTTCAGGTACTTAGCACAACTACAAGTAGCTTCAACGGAGCCGATTCAGCTCGTACTGGAGGCTACAGTCGGAGCCAATTCCTTGGGGAACATAGCTATCGACAACATCTCCTTCCGCCAGGGGACATGCCCAAGTGAGTCATAGTTACACTATAATCCGTAATAAACCATTAGGGTTTCATCTATTTCCTTGATAGAAAATATGTCACAGACAAGACAATTAGATAGTGACTCGTTTCTCAACTAGTCCCATGCAGATTAAATCGTGAACTTCAAAACATCACGAAAGCTTCCCTCTAATCTTCCTATTACATTTTTGTTTGTGTACATCGTGTCCGTCAAACTGTGCACTACATCGATCTATAAAAGAGCTACGCAATCAGGGTCTTTCAGTCGTTTTGTTCATAGCAACTACTTATATAAGTTACATTGCAGACCGTTAAGTATTCCCTATTACAATCGACACTACAGGACTATAGGAACAGCTGCTAATATGTCTATTCCAAAAGTGATATCAAGTGGCTTTTATGCCCCCAGCTGACATGTCCCTAAGAGAACCTTCGTTCACTCTCTCTTCGAGAAACTATTAGGTTAGATCAATCTACACGACATGTCAAAAAAACGACCGTTATATTTCGTATCCTGAGATATAAGCCTGATTTCTTATCCGTATAAAGGATGATCCAGGTAAAGTAAACGTTACAGGGCAAAGTACCCGAACTTTCTTTCGATAGACAGCGGTGTATGAATGTCGCTATTAAGTTCGACTACAGAAAATAGTACGGTCGCAGAACGAATTTTCATACATTATCGATTGTACGCGATGACTAAAAGATACAACGCGAACGCTAGTCACAGTGTGATTCTTACAAGTAAATACGATTCTCTGCAATAAGATAGAATACTTTTTAATACACAGACGCATTTTGTTTGACATATAGGTCAGAATCTTTGCTTTGTTTCATCTGTACAATATCGACGCGATCGTTTCGCTTCTAATCTATTTCACCAAATGCATCAGAAGTGGGTTCCCTAACATTTTACGCGCCAAATTTGGAAAGAAATATGTCTGGATGTACATAAGCCGCAAACAATTTCCAAGAAAGATTGGGCTTGAAATAACTTACGCAATATTGAAACAGCCAATTTCCTAATTCCGGATAAGATTACAAAAAGACCGTAATCTTTTTCAGAAGGAAAAATATAAGCTTTATCCCATATTTTCCTGTATTTTTTTCTTGGGTAAATGAACGATTTTAGCAAACCATTCGTTAAAACACTAGCGAGGCAAACATTCAACCTTCCCATGAAGTACTTCTTGTACAATATGCAGTATTACGCGACATGTGCATTGATTTATGTTCTGGACAATGCCAAAGAAAATTAATCGGATGAGCAAACAATACGAACTTGAGCCCATATTGCACCATTGGAATTATGTAATACTTTTTAATGGGTTTCCCTTCATAAAGAGTCTGCGTCGGGTGCATAAAAGACCTGGGCTTCAATGAGAAGTGTATGAGATAATGGGATATTAACATGCAATTTACGTAACAACCATCCCTAAGTGTATTGCTTTGGAGCTGCGCCTAGTTTGCATTTAATTTTTTTTTCTATGGGATTAGTTCATGATGATTGGTAAAGAGAAACGGTGGACCTTAGTTTAAGAATGTGAGGTCACTTACTAGGTTAAGTATACTATATTCAGTTTGTCGGTCTCCAAGATAGAAGCCAAACAGCAACCGGTACGATAAATTGTTATTATTTGGAAAAATTTTACTATTTATTTAGCTTACAAGGTATACCAATACTAGGCGAAGGGAAACAGGCCATTCCTGATGAACAAGATATACTTTATGTATTTTAAAGATTTTTCTCGAAATCGAGTTAGAACTTGCATTTCTCGTAAGTGTCTATATGTACATGTTACAAGTTTACACAGTGTTCTCTGTTCAGAGTAGAGGCACAGTATATTATATGTTGCGTAGCGAACATTTGTTTGACTTCGCTATTAATTAGAGTCCGGCTAAACTAGCTGGTAGACGTGTCTGGATTTGGGACTTCATAGTCTACTTCAGTTCAGCTTTTAATTAACACACGCAGCAGTTTTAATCTTGTATTTATTACTTGCCTGGCTTAGCTGTTTCAACGCGTGTTCACGTACTTCGTTATCTAAAACAGCTCCTGATCCAACTTCGGTAATTCCTTAGTCTATCCCACGTATTCTTCCTAAGCCCGAATGAACATTATGCAACTAATTTCCCTAAAGATCCTATTTCAGTAATATTAAACCAGTTTCAATATAGAAAGTAACTTAGATAAGCGTTTTTACTCAGCACTTTTTAATTATGGACTTACTGCCCTCAATAGAAAATTAGCATCGTGGGGCGGACAGAGAGAGGCTCTAGCCGTTACTGGTCGTACAGGCAGATTTGGTATAATATTATCAACTAAATAACTGTAAGTAATAGAGTGCCCTTATTTTGGCTCACAGTTAACTTCTGTGAACTACGCGTCCTGGACGTATGTCTAGATGAAGTATTATGGTGTGTATAGGTGTACATACGCTCAAACTTACGCCCATTCGATTGCTGTTCAGCGGTCTGCCCGAGAAAGGAAAAAGTGGCGTAGGATAAAATAAGAGAAGGCCATATTAGCAGATGGGTGCTTCCGGAAGTTCACGCGCGTGTAACATCGACAGAAGAGTGCCAAAGAGCAGATGGTTCAAACACAAGAGAGACTGAGTGGAAAAACGAAGTCCGTCGTTTGAAGAATACTGCATCGTTTACCATGCCACGATTAACCACAACGCTGTGGGAAAGACTTGGCTGATTGAAAATTGACAATGGTAATTGTGGCTGGAACCGAATGATTCAGTAGTCAACTATAGTTGAAATGGTGAGCTAATAACGGCTACTACTAATGAAAGCGCCCTCTGTCATACACGTGCGAGCTGCAGTATTAACAACAGTAAACGGTTTAAAGTACTTTACTTCATCTGTTGACCTTTTTTTTTTTTTGGTTTCGTAGACTACGCTTAGCGTCGATATGTCGCCGTTTCGTCAGACCTACTATACTGGAAGGCACCTATCTGTGTCGTATTCGTTGCATCTGCGTTGCAACGGAACGCAATATATGCTAAGAATAGTGAATATACGTAGGCGATAAGGTACCTTTATCTCGCACGCGATCCATTCTCGCCTAATAAGTTAAGCAGCGTGAATGAGATTTATTCTATAACAAGCAATGTGAAAATAGGGAAATATAGTTAACGGTATACGGAAAGCGCCGAATATTTCCAATCAAAATATTATGAGAAAAGTATATGGGTGTTTTATCTTTTCATAGAGCTTTCTAGTATTACTCTGATGGTACCTGACTAGAGGTACACGTAAGTGTATCGTAGGCCTATCAGAAGTCTTTGATACGTTTTCGAGATGTTATGTATTCCAATATCACATGAAAGCTCTGGCCAGTACAAAGCTAACGCCATTTCCTGTTTCACAGCCATACGGCAAATATTGCTTTATTAGAATTCCGCGCAGCCACCGCTTCACCTGAACAGATTTTATATTTTATATATATATATATATATAACGGGAACGGATCTCCATAGATCCTGAACAAAGACTCAAGTGTTCGGTGGGTGCGAATTTCTTTTTGCATATATTACTGCTTTCTAGAAATCTGTGAAGGGACAGTTTTCAAATAAAACGCGCTCAAAGCATCCCTCTGCATTTAGCAGACCAAGAAAATGGATATACGTGCACCCTTAATGGAAAATGCCGTGTTATAGACAGGGGTTCATCTATTCCATGTACGAATACGGTTTTGTGAGATAATTCATGCACACACCAAAATATAATTATCACTATGTTTCTATAATATTTATTTATAACACTATATTATTTTAGTAAACATAGCTAATCGAAACATAACGTTACAAAATCTAATAAGATTTTGTTAGTAGGATTTTTTTGTGTGAAATCGTAGATTTTTTGCTTGTTTTTTTACATAGCCTAACTTTAGGCGTTATTGTGTCGTAAAAGAAGTAGCAACGATGGAATCCGGTTCGATATACCTCCAACTATCATACAAGCAGGAACAGGGAAGGCGATCAAATGCGTGACACCGAATTGTAGGGGGCGATGCGGCCTTTGGCGATCAAACGCTCATCGATACACAAAAAGCCTAATATGGACTATTTTGCTGTCGCCGTCAAGTCAGACCTTTGTAGGTGACAATACTCATTCAGTGAGACACCACCCTCAAACGATTGCTGGGCTCAAGCAGTAAAAACACAATCAAATCGAGACTCATATTTTCGTTTGTATCATCCAGGTTCATCATACATAGGACGAGTGGCTAAATGTCAGCCTAACAATATCACATGCAGCTGGTTGAAGTGAACCTAGCTTTTTGGTCGTGACATAAGGTATAGATCGAAGACAAAGAAGGTCAATAATCGCAACTGTATTTTTTGTAAGGCTGTATGGTTATAGAAGTCAACAACAAGACAAAAATCCATTATACATTCAATAGAAATATACCGCTACCTTTCTTCAATGCCTAAGTTTGTTATCATGTTGTATTGTAGGTGTTTGGTATTCATTGTATCATTGTTGCGGTAAACGCTCTGCCCGGCAAAAAGGCGTAAGGTTTTGAATACGAGCCGTCCCGAACTCCCTATCTGGTCTTCCGTTACCACAAAGCAGTTGTCGAATACCTGGGAGTTAGTGCCTAGATGATGATGGAAAAGGTAAAAAACCTCTTAGTCTGCTCTCTAGCTATCGCTTCTTGTAATACGGACGGTTGCTTCTCACACAAGCGATGACATGGCGACAGCGACAGCTGCAGCTACTAAGTATCGTCATACATCCGTGAAACTCGTTCACTTTTACCGCTCGACGCCCTCAGCAACGATTCTGAGTAAGGATTTGGGTGCGTTCCAGGTTAGAAAATCTTCTCTGGCTTCCGTTTCGATCAGGGGGAGCGGTGCGGTGGGTCGTAAGATGATGGAGATGGGATATAGTCTAGTCACGAACGAGACACGATGGCAGTAAAGGTGTCCCAGATTGCCATATTCGTCATGTTCTTCCTTTAAAAAAAGGCCTCTGCTTATTGGTTTGGCGCT